CTTCCGTCAAACGCGAGCTGCAGTAAGTCGTTCGTTCCGTGCTTGTATTTTTCAGGGTCTCTGTGAACTGACTGTTGACATTTTTTGGTGTAGTACATCGAGGCCATCACGAAGCTGATGGAGAAACAAGGAGCAGCTTTTGGAGCGCGGGCTTCTGTTACTGAGGCTCAATCTGCCGATGCAGATTAAAGAGCTCACATTTAACCGGCGACGGCATTCAGGAGCCGACTATCTCGCTGCTTTTCGCGGACCTGGTCCAAGCGCATACTGACCTCTATCGTCGACATGTACAGCGCTATATCTCCCGTTCGCCCGGGGGAATCCCCCCCCCCCGGGAAAAAAGCGCGAAAAAAGTTCTTCGCGGTGTGGAGAGATCCGACACCACAGCGGGCTGTGAAAAATATATTCTCCCCGAAAAGGTTTTTTTTTTTTGGCTTGTTTTAAAAAAAAAAAGAACAAGTGGGGATCCCAAGAGATAAATATATGGACCACAGATTTTAGACTCTCCCAAACTCGTTGCCTTCGGAAAGGAGACGTGTGCGATAGAACCCATCTCCATGTAACCAAAGTCTACGTACGCAGAAAATTATGAATCGGCACTTGTGCGATGAGTTTCATCCGTCCACCGTTCTGCGCCAAATGAACAGGTATTGCGTCAGTAAGAGCTTCCGAATAAGAGACAATTGCTACGTACCTGGAAACGCGAGGCAGAGTGAGGAGAACAACGAGAGCAGCCAAATCGTTCTCGAGTTTCCACGGCATCTGATCAGAAGACTCGACGTCGAGCACTTGGTACACCGATAGAACGTCCTGAGGGCGAATTAAGGCCTTCTGATGCAGCAGTCCCAGCGCCTGATAGAAAAGATATTCCAGGGTTCTGCGAAGTCTTGGCGTCTCTGGCAGACAGCGCGTCTTCAAGTACTCTTGCACCCATCCCGGGAGAGTCCCATGAGGAGCTGATTGTGAGACTATCGGCTCAAACAGATCACACACAGTCGCCTCCACACGCCCGTGGTCGTCGCTATTCTGTGACCCGTGGAAGCAAGAGCACAACTTGACACACAGACGCGTCAACTCTGCCGCCACCGCCGCCTTGGCACTCTGCAGATCTTCTTCGTCGTCTTGTACTTCCTCCCTCTCACTCAACTGCTCAAGCGTCGGGAACATCTGAAGCACGAACACGCCGACTGCTGGTGATCGCCCATTGTGGCTCTCAGGGACATCGTGGTGAGAAACCTATGCTGATTCTTCTGCGCGAGCGGTTCCAGTTGACACACATGGCAGCTAAGATTCAAGATTTTCTGCGCAAGTGTCTTTTGTGCAAGCATGTAAAAGGCGGTACTCTGATTCAGAGACCCTGGGGCCAAACTTACACGGTAAAGGAGCGCAATGAGGGTGTGCACTGGGGTTTCTCAAAATGTGCGATAGCTTCGGTGCGAACAAGTACGTGTTGGTGGTGAAAGATGCTCTTACTTACTACTGTGAGCTGTTCCCAAGTGCTGAGTGCGACCGTTTAACGGCGGCGCAAGGTCTGCTGAGCTGGTACACAGCTACGGAAAACCCTCCGTCCTCATATCGGACCAGGGAACGCATTTCAGCAACGCCACGGTGGCGTCGCTGTGCTCAAGACTACAGATTCAGCAAGAGTTTACCCTGTGTCAAAACGTTCCGGCAAGCGCAAACACAAGCTCACACTTTTTACGGACTGTATCGTGCAGATCACCGCAGTTAAGGCACATTGAAGATCAAAATAGAGTGATTGTATACGGATAGTGGTATTGTGCGTTCTATTCGAAATTTCCGCGGGCGTCTGAGAGACACGACCAGCCCAATCGCGCACCCAATCGTGTAGCCTAGCATACAGAATGCGTTTTGGCGCTAATACAGAATAATCCTCTGACTCGCCATCTTCATTCATGACAAGTGCGCGGGGTCTTCAGTACGAGATGCGCTGTCACTTTAACTTCAACGTGTATCTGGTATCTTATTGGATAATAAAAAATGGTTTCTTAATTTTGACCTCTAACAACGCAGCGTCGATTTGCCGTTCGCTTCGGGCCTTTCTCCGAATCGTCCCGCTTCGGCAAATTGGGGCGGAATTGACAATATTACAACAAGTAACAAAGCAATGTTTCTCTTTTTCGAATGCTACTTCTCGTTTTCTTTCCCAGAAGACTGTCGGTAACCACGAAGTGTGACTCCGTTTCATTCTCAAGAAGGCTGTTGGGTCGTTGCTTTTGCCATGACTCATGTTGGCTCTTTACTAAGCCGCTCCAAGTCGAAGCGGCTTGCTTGCCTGGCATACATGTAGCTCATCCACACGTACTAAACGACCACGCAAAAAGCATCAGCGAAAAAAAAGCAATTTCACGCTGGTTTCTAAATTATTTTAAGCTACGATCGATAGGAGCAGGCAGCTACATCGAAGAGGGAGAAAACGCCCGCTGCCCTACAGCGGTGGGTACCAGGAAAACTTTCGGATCAAAAGATCGGGAACTAAGACGTTGGGGAGGCGGAAGCTTACGTTGGGCATCATCACCTAACCAGCCTCTTTTCTACGAGGATGCTATAAGGCCCCTAATATAACGAGATTGTTCCCCCCAGAGCTAATGGAGCCAGAACGTCCGATCGCGAGTGGACAGTGATAGCAAGGAAGAATGGAGGCGGAAAAAAAGGGTACGCCACACTAATTTTGGGAGTGGTGA